GAACGTATCCCTGTCCCTAAGATTGACACGCCAAAAGGCGATGACAATCTTAGGGATTCGCCCTCAAAAAATAAGGGAATCCCTAAGATTGGCATCGTGATGAGGAGGTGCCCAGCATAGGGATAGGGATATGCTCCAGGCTGGTAATGAGTGTGGCGCAGGGCACACTACAGTCAGCCCGCATAGCACGGATGGGCAACCCTCCCAAGGGTACCCTTGCGTCCTTGCCTCCTCGGTCCATCCTTGGCCTCTTTCGGTGGCCGCGCCCCGCCCGAAAAGCTTCGACACGGCCTTCCAAGGCCCTTGCATCCCCATCGTGCGTCCTTCTGATACGGGTCGACTCTGGGGGCCGTGCATCCCTTCCCCTCTTGCTACCGGGCTCCTGGGAAGGGGGGGAACTTGCATCGCTCGGACGTTTGCACTTTCTGCTCGGCGGGGACCATCGAGGAGCATCTTGAATCACCTTGCGAAAAAGTGCACGCGCGCAATCGAAGCATGCACGGGGAATGGACGCCCGGGCGATGGCGAGGGGAAGGGGGGGAAGAGAAGCCCTACGGGCTCACGCTGCGATAGCAGTCGTCTCCCAGAGGAGGGAGGGGCGGGCCTCCCTCACGCCCTGGTAGCGGTCATCGGGCGCACGCCTCCAGGCCGGCAGGGCCGGTCCCTGTGGGCTGAGGTGGCATGGTATTATAGGCCCTGGCCTGATTGCCAGGGTGGGGGAGGAGGAGGAGGCTGAGGCCAGTCGAGCAGTGTTTTGGCTGGACCTCCATCGGCGCATGAATGAAAGGAGGAGGAGGAGGATGAGGATGCAAGCGAAAACGCGATTCCTGATTGGTGAGAGTGCAGGTCTTGAGTATGTGCACGAGTGGCGGCGGAAGCCTCAGGCTGCAACACGACCAGAGTGGTTCCATGTGCGGAAGGATCACAGGTGAGAGCGTGGATTTGGAGCAAGGTGTGAGGAAGTCTCCAGCGAGAGCGCGTTTCTTGAGCGCCCTCAGCGACAACAACAGGGTGCGGGCGTCGAGGGACGCACTTCGACTGATAGAAACCGACGGGGTCTTTGACTTCGACAACAGCGACGACGTCCACGATGCCGACGGAGGCGACGACGGCGCGTCCGCAGTCGACGACGACGACGACGACGGCGCCGGCGACGACGACAAGGATGACCACGACGACGACGGCAGCGATGACGGCTCGTCCGCAGACGACGACGGCGCCGGCGAAGACGACGACGACGGCGCCGGCGACGACGACGACGACGACACGACGACGACGACGACGACGACGACGGCGACGGCGACGGCGACGGCGACGAAGACGGCGACGGCGATCACGGCGACACCGCCGGCGTAGACGACGGCGACGCCGCCCCGCCGCCACAGGCGCGGCCGCGGGCGAGGCCCGCGGCAGCGCGCCAGAGCCGCGCCCCGCGGCCGCTGCCCCGGAGTTGCAGCCCGCGGCGTCAGCGGCCCACCCGAGGGGTGCCGAAACGGCGGCGGCGACGACGACGGCGACGACGACCACGACCACGACAACGACGACGACGGCGACGAAGACGATGACGACGAAGACGACGACGACGACGACGACGACGACGGCGACGACGACGACGGAGACGGCGACAGCGGCGACGACACGACGACGGCGGAGTCGATGACGACGGCGTCGACGACGACGACGATGACGATGACGACGACACCGCCAGCCCAGACGACGACGACGTCGGCGACAACGACGACGACAGCGACGGCGACGACGACGACGACGACGGCGACGAACACGACCACGACTTCGTCGACGACGACGACCACGACGACTATCACGACGTCGACGACGAAGACGGCGACGACATCGACGACGAAGATGTCGACGACGAACGCGACGACGACGACGTCGGCGACGACGACGACGACGGCGAATACAGTGACGACGACGGCGACGGCGACGGCGACGACGGAGACGACGACGACGGCGACGACGACGACGGCGACGACGACGGCGACGACGACGACGACGATCACGACCACGACCACGACCACGACCACGACGATGTCGACGACGACGACGACGACGACGGCGACTGCGACGACGACGACGACGACGACGAAGTCGACGGCGACGGCGACGGCGACGACGACGACGATGACGGTGACGACGGTGGCGATCCCGACCACGACCACGAGCACGACGACGACGAAGACGACGGCGACGACGACGGCGCAGACGACGACACCGCCGGCGCAGATGGCGACGACGACGACGACGGCGGCGATTGCGACGACGACGACGACGATCACGACGACGACCACGACCACGACGACGACCACGACGACGGCGTCGACGACGGAGACGTCGACGTCGACGACGACGACGGCGACGACAACGACGACGACGACGGCGAGTGCGATGACGACGACGACGGCGATCACGACCACGACCTCGACGAAGACGACGACGACGTCGGCGACGACGGCGACGATGACGACGACGACGGTCACGACCACGAGCAAAACCACGACCACGACGACGGCGACGAACACGACGAAGAAGACTGCGTCGACGACATCGACGACGACGACGACGACGGCGCAGACGACGACGACGACGACGACGACGACGGCGACGGCCACGACGGCGACGGTTTCGACGACGACGATAACGACGACGACGGCGACGACGGCGACGACGACGACGACGAGGACGACGATGGCGACGACGACGACGACTACGACGACGCCGACGACGACGACGACGGCGATGGCGACGACAACGACGACGACGTCGACGGCGACGGCGACGACGACGACGACTCGTGTCGCGCGAGGCGAGCGCGGGCGGTGCTCCCCGCTGCCCCGCAATAGGCGATTTCGCTCGTTTTCGGGCCTGGGGACCACCACAGATCGACCTGGCTCGAAAATTCGGCTTCGCGTAAGTGAGTGACTTTTCGTCTGAGTGACCTTAAGCTCGGGCCCACAGGAGTCCCGCCAGCAGTGGCTGTCGCCCTCGGATGACTTGCTTTTGTTTTCCCCACGATTTGCGTGTAGCCGAATAAACGACCTAGAAAGATGGTGCCTAGGGCTCTGGTCCAGGTTTTCTTGCGATGCTGCAGCTTTTTGCAGCGTCGGATCCCCACGGTGGCGGCGGTGGAGGTGGAGGAGGAATACGACGAGCGACCGCAAGTTTTAGCGGAACATGTTTGATTACATTTTTTTCGGTCCCTGCTTCTCTCGTGTCCGGCGCTGGCTCTGGCTCCTTGAAGTGAGCCCGGCGCCGGCGCTGGCTCCGGCTTCTCGCCTGAGACGTCCTCTCAATGCGGTGCTCCGAGGTGCTGCGCGCGAGGTGCTCTGGCTTGAGCGCGAGGTGGTCCGGCCCGTTTTGCCAGCGACATCCTCGCAAACTCTGGGCTCTCAGAAAATGTGCGCGAGATGGTTTGGCGGGCTTCGCCTGGGACAGCTTCGCAACTGGGCTCCGCCATGCCGCACAAGAGGTGGTCTGGCCCGTTTCGTTTGAAACATCTTGGAAATTTCGAGTCCCGAGGGGAGGGGAGAGGAGCGAGGAGAGTTCAGACCCAAACGAGGGAGGAGAAAGAAGCGAGGAGGAGAGGGAGGGAGAAAGAAGCGAGGAGGGAGGAGAAAGAAGCGAGGAGGGAGGGGAAAGAAGCGAGGAGAGTTCAGACCCAAACGAACCCTTTCGTTACACTTCTGCTGTCGATGTGTGCTCTGGCAGAGGTCTGGGAGCCCCTGGCCCGACGGAGGAGGTGGCTGGCGCCGAGGCGCGAGCACGACTTCTTAACTAGAGCTGGCGAGGGAGGAGCCATGCTGGAGTGAGTCGTGGCGATGCCTCGGCTAGAGCGCGGCGGGCAGGGAGGAGGAGGAGGCGGGATCGGGGAGGAGACAGGGAGGAGGGAAAGAGCTCCGAGAGGCTGCGTGAGAGGATGGTTGGAGGAGGGAGACGGGACCAGGCTCACACGCTACTTGTTTGAGGGCATCCCAAACGAGGGTGCCTTCTGGAAGCGGCATCGGGATTGCGAAGGCATCCCTGGCATGGCGGAGGAAGCGGAAAACAGGGAGGAATTTGATAAAGAGGAGGAGGATGGGGGAGGAGGAAGAGGAGGAAGAGGAGGAAGAGGAGGAAGAGGAGGAAGAGGAGGAGGAGGAGGAGGAGGAGGAGGAGGAAGTAGAGGAGGAGGAGGAGGAGCAGGAGAAGCAGGAGGAACAGGAGGAACAGGAGGAGGGAAAAGAGGAGGTGGAGGAGGAGGAGGAAGAAACGGGAACGAGGAGGAGGACGAGGAGGAGGAGGAGGAGGAGGGGAGGAGGAGGAGGAGGAGGAAGGGGAGGAGGAGAGGACTGCGAGGACGAGTCCCTGAGGACGAGGAAGGGAGGAGGAGGAGGAGCATTCCGGGGAGGAAGCAAAGGAGGGGGCGGAAGAGAAGGAGGACGGAGGAGGAGGAGGAGGAACAGGAACAGGAGCAGGAGCAAGGAGAGGAGGAGAGAGGAGGAGGAGGAGGAGGAGGAGGAGGAGGAATTGAACAGGAGGAGAGGAGGAGGGAGAGAGGAGGAGGAGGAGGAGAGGAGGAGGCGGAGGAGGAGGAGGAGGAGGAGGAGGAGGAGGAGGAACAGGATGAACAGGAGGAGAAGGAGGAACAGGAGGAGGAAACGGAGAAGAAGGAAAAGGAGAAGGAGGGGGAGGAGGGAGAGGAAGAGGAGGAGGAGGGAAAGGAAAAGGAAGAGGAGGCGGAGGAGGAGGAGGAGGAGGGGGATGATGATGATGATGATGATGATGAGGAGGAGGAGGAGGAGGAGGAGGAGGAGGAGGAGGAAGAGCACTGCGAAACGGAGGTGGACGAGGAGCACGAGGAGGAAAACGAGGAACACAAGGAGGAACACGGCGAGCATGCGGAGGAGCAAGAGGAAAATACAGGAGGAGGTCGGTGACGAGGTAGATGATGAAGAGAAGGGGGAGAAGGTGGAAGAAGAACGCGGCGAGGAGGAATCGCACCAGGAACGTGAGGAGGTGTTCGTATGAGGAGGGGGCGAAGAGGAGTGAGGTCGTCTGTATACGTGATGTACTTCCTATGCCCTTCGCTGTGGGGCGCGTGATGGGAGGGCGATAAATCGGGGGCGGTGAGGGCTGCAGAGAAGGGGCCATTTAGAGCCCCTCTTGAGGGCCCTGTCGGGCCCCCAAGAGGGGCCTTTAGGGTCTGAAGAGGGCAACCCCCTCCCATCCATTTATCGCCCCCCGCTAATTCGTGCCCAACTCCCCCGCCCAAAGGCCTGGTCCCCGATGCAGTCCGGGAGGCAGTCGTCGTTCCTGGGCAGCTCGGGCCAGCTCAACGGGAGGCGCCCTCCGCGCTTCTCGCGGCGCCTCCCTCCCCCCCGTGGCGACAGGGGGGGCGGGGCGGCAGCGCAGGCGCAGCGACACACGCGCAGGAGCCCACTTCGACTCGATCGGCCTGGTCCGATTCCGAGTTCGCGCAACTCTGTCTCCGATTCGGTTTTGGCTCGGGCGGTGCGGTGCGGCGCTCGCCTGGTGGCGCACCCTGGCGCGGCCGTTCGGATGCACTCCCGGCTCCGTACCGATGCACCCCGATGCGGCGCACACTTTGAGAATCATCTGCACTTCCCGATTCGAGTGGCTGACTCTGCAACACCTGGCCGGCAGCACGGTTCTCCGCGGCGCGCTCCGAAGAGGTGGCTCGCCTTCGGCGCGCCTCGGCGGAAGGCCGGCGGAAGGCGGCTTCGCGGGTGGAACGCCAGCGGAAGCGAGAGTGAGATGCCGTACAGGTTCGATCCAGGGTTTGGGGCATGTGCGGAAGAGGGAGGAAGCGGGGCTGCGTAGGCAGGGCGCAAGGAACAGGCCCCACGAAGAGGGGGAAGAGGGAGGATTGGGAGGAAGAGGTGTCATAGGTGGGGGGAGCGGCAGGGGGAATGGGGGAGGGAGGGCAGGGGATGGAGAAGGGATCCCCAGATTCGGTGCGGAGTGAGAGGGGTTGTGTGGAGCGGAGGGTCGGGGGCATTGGGACGAACCTCGCAGCCCGTTGATCCCAGCGTCTGCTGGGGCCATGGGGGGCGAAGGGGCTTGGGAAGAGTGGGGGGAATGGATTCGTGCCTTCCAGGCTGCGCCTTTCGCGGGCGCGCGGTAAGTCTAGCCGCCGCCCCGGATCCTGACCCCCCACAGAGGGCGCCCGAGGCGTCAAGGGCAGAACAAGATTCAGAAACTCTCGCAAACGTCGGAAGAGCTGCCTCCTCGATCCTCGAGCGTCGAGGGCCGGCATTGGCAGAGAGGGGGATCCCTCGATCACACCGCGACGCGCTGCAGCTGCATCCACCGAATCTCGGGCATCATACAACTCCCGGCGGCAGCGAGCGCTGTCGTACACAGGGAGTGGCGTTGCATCAGGTCTTTCGTAGTTCGTCGTCTTCTTTTCCTCGAATATGGTTCCTCCTTGACTTCTGCATTTGCCTCTTCCTCCGCATCCCTGCCTCCCTCCCTCCCTCACTCCCTTCCCCGACGCCAGAGAGGGAGGCGATATCATTTGCAGCTTCTGAGGCCGGGGGGAAATGCAGACGAGAACGAGCGAAGGTGGTGCTCTGCACATCAGCTGATGCTGTTTCTGATGCTGCTGCTCCGCATAGCGCCATTGCCAATGGGGGCAAACGACGAATGACAGCAGCTGGCGTTGCGAGTGATTATATCGTTTGTGGTACGGTGGGGGCGTTGGTTAAGGAATAGTCCCTGGAGGCGCCAGACCCTGGAGGATTCCTTATCTGATGAGGGCGGCGGTGATATCCATGGCCGATTCACGATTGGAATTCCAATAGCCTCCAGACCCTGGATTTCTTATATCTCAGGGTTCCTTATCCAATGCCCCCACCGTAGTGACACCGACGGCGGCGACGATCGCGACCACGCTGGCTGCCCCGCCAGCACGACCTGGACTTGGCATCGCTCGGTGGTGTGCATTTTTTCTCGGCGAGAACCACCGAGCACCATCCTGGACCATCGAGCAAAAAAAAAAAAAACACGCACGAAACCGAAGAACGCACGGGAAATGGCCGTCCGAGCGACGGCAAGGGGACGGCTCGCCAGGGGCGACCCGCCGAACCCCGGCAGCAGGCGCCGCGCAGCCCTCGCCCCACGGCTCGCCGCTCGCCGCGCGCGTGCCTCGGCTGCCGCTTCAGGCTCGCGGAGGGCCTGCCGCGGCACGACCGGGGCGGCCCGCCGGCGGCGGCCCGTGCCGCACCGGGGGAGCAGACAAGGACGCAAGCACACACCGGAAATCTTAGTTCAGAGAACTTCGGCCTAAGAAGGCAGACTCTGGAGTCCCCCCTTTCCTTGACCCGCAAGGCTACCCTGGGTTCCAGATGTTCTGGAATATGCTAAGGAAAACTCAGACCCTGGCTCCAAGGCTGCTCTTTCTTGATCATCCTGCAGGGTGTCACAAATTGCTGGGCTCCGCGCGGAGTTCTCGCATCTCGGCGCGGGACCCCTCTCCACGGTGCGCGCAGAGCGCGCCAGGGGCGGCGCCGGAGGCGCCGCCAGGGGCCCCCCCATAGCGCCGACCCGAGGCATCCGCGCGGACCTCCGAGTCTTCGGTACGGCCAACCCGCATAGTAAGGATGGGCAGCCTTCCCAAGGGTGCCCTTGCAGCCTTGCCCCTTCGGCCCACACTTGGCCACTTTCCTTGGCCAGCCTCGCTCGCCAAACGCGAGCGTGGCCCTCCAAGGCCCCTGCATCCTTACCGCGCACCCTTACTATAATCAGGAGGGAAAGAAACACACAGACACAATTAATCGTCGATCCCCCAGAAAATATGGGAAAATATGGGAAGTGGTGGGGGAGACAAAAACCCAGAAAATATGGGAAAATATGGGGCATCTTTTTATTTGTGTGTATTTATTTGTGTGTCCCAGGGCCCCTTCATATAATTACGGGTTGACTGCACGCTTGTGTCGCTGCCTGTGCCCGCAGACCGCCCCCCCGGCGCCATGCGCGCCCCAGCGGCGGGCGGCAGCAGGCGCCGCGCGAGCGCGGCCAGGGCGCTCGCAGCCTTGCTGGCGCTCGCCGCGGGCCCGCGCCGGGGGCCCGCGGCCGCCGCGGCCGCCCCCGGCGGCCCCGCCTCGGCCCTCTCGGGCGCGGCGTGGCGGGGGGCGGCGGACTCACTGGGGTTGCTCGAGTTTTATTTGTTTCGGGGGTTGCCCGAGGTTATCTGCAGGTGCACTCTGTGTCTGAGGTCCGGGGGTTGCGCCAATGAGCTGTCGCTGTGTCCCAGCCTCGGTCATGCCGCCCTCTGGGCTTCTCCTTGCGGGCCGCGAATCAAAAAAAGGGGTCGCCCGAGGCTTCGTGACGATGGCCGATGGCTGGTCCGCTCTGAGCCTCGGCATCGCTCGGACGTGTGCATGTTTCCTTGGGCGCGGGCCATCGAGGAGCATCCTTGATCATTTGGCGAAAGAGCCACGCACGAAACCGACAAAAAACACAGGGAATGGACGTCCGAGCGATGGCCAGGAGCTGCCTCGTCTTCTACCCATGGACCTCCCAAGGCTCGGCCTCCCTGCTGCCTCTATCACGACACCCGCGCCATCCGAATTGAATTCCTAGGTGCGGTTCCCCTGGGTTTCCTAAAGTTTTCGTCTGTTCGTGGAGGTTTTTTGCAGCCTCGGGATGTTCTCCAGCAGCGGCGCCTCGTCGAGAGCGTTCCCGGGTGCCTGAACCGTTTCGAACGGACGCCCGAGGCTCGAGTCATGCCCCGAGAACCGCTCCAGGCCCTTGGCGGCCCCGCCTAGGCCCTCTTGGGCGTGTCGTGCACAGGGGGCGATCGCAGAGTGCGTTTTATTACTCGCAAGCGTCCCAAACAAATGCTTGCCTCGACGCGATGGGTCGTACATCCCCCGCGGCGGATCCGGGGTATTTGCGGGTAGTTGCTGTGCGAGTAGTGGAGCGCGCTTGTCTGTGAATGTCTGGGCCTGCTGGATGGGGTGGGAGTCGATGGGTCGCAGAGTCGCGCAGCATCGCCGATGCCTCGATGCGGAGCCCGACTTTCTCCACGCCAATCTCGCCGATGCATCGCCGACGTCGCCGGTGTGCCGCCGATGCATCGGTGCTGCATCAACGATGCGGCGCGATCCTCCGACCCCATCTACTGGGAGGCCTCTGGGCCCTAGGCCGAGAGTTGCAGGAGAGGGCCCCCAAACGGGGCTGTCAGCGGCAACGGTAGAAGAGGGGCGTAGGCTCAGGTGGGGACGCCTCGACCCCCAATTGCCCACTCAGCGCCGACAGGGGGCCACTAGCCCACCCCGCCCAGGAACATGGGGATTCGCTATCGGCTGGGGGCGCATCGACCCCCAGTCGCCCATTCATCGCTGGCGGGGGGCCCAGAGCCCACCCCGCCCAGGCACGCGGGGAGTTGCGATCGGGGGCCTGTCGCCAGTCTGTCGATGATGCATCATGTCCCCCCCCCCCCCCCCCTGAGCTGGTCCCCCCCCCCCCCTTGGTTGCTCCTCAGGCCCCCCAGGGGGCCATGGAAGGGGGGCCCGAGAGGCGGCGCATCTTCCCCGAGATCCGACGGCGCGAGAGAAATTGGGGCGGGAGCCCCGGGCCCCAGCTTCCTGCGCAACTTCGTCTAGCCGGATCGACACGAGCTGGCTCTCGGGGCCGAGACCAGGCGAAAAAACGCCCGGCTCCAAAAAAAATGGAAACGCCGGGATCTCTGGGTGCCTGCTGTGTGGGCAGGGCGGTTAGGCAGGTTAGTAAACCAAGTTACAAAAAGTTAGGCGACGCACACACGCAATGTAGATGTAACCAGTTACGAGCTGCATTATAATGTTTGCTAACGCCATAATTGTTTGCAAGTTTTCATAAGTGTGTCTAACCTTTTCCATAACTTTTTGTATTCACTTGTTGTTCACAAGGCTGTCGTTTGCAGGTTTGATACAGCGTGCATGTGTTTCATCATTGGAGGCTTCGCCCCATGGAAGTGTCGCCCCACCGACAGGCAACATTCCGCAGCTATCACTTCTCAGATATGTTTTCAGATGCGAAACGGCAGAAGCTCGCTCACGCAGTTCAGAATGCTGGTTTGGGTACTTCGGTCAGGTCAGTGCAACGCACCATCGCGAGTATGTCGGACGAACCAGAGGCTGCCGTTTCAAGTGATGTGATCCGACATTGTGTGCGCAAGTACATGGAAGGAGTCGCAACACCGTACGGGGAAATCATTGAGAAGATCCAGATTCCATTGGCAGCAGGTGGCCACCACGATCTTCCTGTGGCAAATCCGTGTGCAGCCATATGGTACTATTGTTCCATCTCGCCAACGTTTAGCGTTTTCTTGCATCGCCACATGAAAGATTGCATAAATGATATTGCTGTTTGGGGTGATGATGTTACGTGTGGAAATCAACTCAGACCAGATTCAGTAACAAAATACGTTTCGCTGTACTACACGTTTGTGTCTCTCCCAGAGTGGTTTCGCAGTTCCGAACATGGCTGGCTGCCTCTGACATTTCTCAAGTGTGACGCCATGCAATTCATGAAAGCAAAATATTCAGGCTTGCTGAAAGCTGTGTTGAATTTCATGTTTACACGAACGTGCAATTTCACCGACGGCATAGATCCCCCCAACGGGCCCGCTGGCACATGGCGCCTCCGAGCCAGATTGATGGCCCTCGTGCAAGACGAGAAGGCCCATAAGGAGGCCAAGCTCGTCAAAGGAGCGAGCGGCTCGAAGCCGCGCAGCACGTGTAAAAACGTTTACCAGGGCCCCACCGAGGCTACAGCAGGCAGCGCATACATAAAGCATTATAAATTTGCCCAGCCGTCTCAATTCGACAGGCACACGGATGCCTCGTTCTGGCAAATGGCTGACAATCTGAGTGCCAAGCACCCAGTGATGAGCAAAGGTGCTTTCGAAGACCTTGAGCAGCAGTACGGTTTAACGTATGATCCTGATGGACTGCTCTGGGACGTACCTTTGCGCGCGCACTTCCGACCAGTCAGTGGCACGTACTGGGACTGGATGCGTACCATTGCATCCAGCGGGGGGACGTCCCAGTACAAGATCAACGAATTTGTGCGCGCAGTCTGTAGCGCGGGCATACGGCTCAGTGAATTAGATGAATTCGCCCAGGGGGTGCTTGCTGGCAATAGCAGGCGCGTCGCGCCACTTCCTTCACGGTTTTTCCAAAAGCGCATCAGTTCAAAGATGCACAGCCACGTCAAAGCTTTCGCAGGGGAGGCGTTGACTGCAGTTCTCGTGTTATCATATCATAGTGGATGTTGCCCGCACCCCCGCGCCCCGCTCGCCACCGCGCCGAGCCCCCCCCCCCCCCCCCCTCCCCCCCCCCTCCCCCCCCCCCCCCCCCTCCCCCACACACACACGCACGCGCACACACACACACACACACACACACACACACACACACACACACGCACGCACGCACGCACGCACGCACGCGCACACACACACACACACACACCACGCACGCACACGCACACGCACACGCACACACACACACACGCACACACACACACACATCCACATCCCCAGGTTGGGTTGCGTGATTCGTCATTCTCACACGCGGCAAAGCCCACCGCTTGGTGGGCAGCTGACTTTTGCAAAACGGCGTTGGATCCAGCAGGCAAGCTCCCCCAGCACAGCCGTTGCATGCAAGTGCTAGGGCAGATAGTCGACATCGTCACGTCGGGGGACGTTGCCGTGCAGTTCGCGCCCGCACTGGCCAGACTAATGCAAGAGCACCATTGCCTCATGATTGAGCTGTACCCACTAGAGTGCTCTAAAATAAAGACACACTTGCAACACCATGTGCCCGAGTGTTTCATCGCCTGCAAATGCAACCTGAATTGCTTTTCTTCGGAAAGGCGGAACAAGTTACTGAAGGCAGTTTCTGTCCACGTGTCTCACCTCCCTGACCCGTCGGAGAGCGTCCTCTCGCGTGTGTTGTTAGATTTGGAGGACCGCATTTTGAAAGCACCCTTGGAGCCATGTTTTCTGTTGGAGCCAGTCACGGACATGCAAGCGCTTATGCAGTTTTTGCCACCAGGCGATCTGCCCAGCAGAATATTCTTATCTAGGTCAATGCATTGGCACAAAGGTAACCTGTTTGAGAAGGACTGCTTGTCTGTCAATAGCATTGGGTGCGCTTCAATTGTTCGGGTCGTGGCTTTCGTCGGTGCAATTTTTGCCGCCAACCCAGAGTCACAGAAGTGCTTCGCACTCGTGCAGGATTGCGTTCAGTGCGCCAACGACCCGACGTTGTGGAGCACGGTAGATAAGCATGCGTTTTGCAGCGTAAGTGATGTAGTCGAGGCGCACGCCGTCATCACAGTTGGTGGGAAATTTAGGCCTGTCTTCAAAGCTACCCACGCATGGACGCATGGGCGAGTTTTGACGGGGTAGGCCAAGCAGCATTGCCGCGCAGGGAAATATAGTTATACCGCCATTATAAGTAGCATAATTATTATTGTTATCATCAATATTATTATTACTACTTTGATTGCTAGTATTGTGTAACACATACGAGCACGAAGATATACCAGGCAATGGTGGCGATGCCTCCCATTCAGTTTCACCGCTGCTGCTCTGCTAGACCCCTAGTGCGACGGAGAGAAAACGGCCAGGTCGAACGAGCAAGCGAGAAGAGAGGGGCGCTTAGTCCACGCAGCCCTGACCGATGCGGGGCTCACTTTCTCGCCGCGTCCCCTCCTGTTCCCCCCTCCCCTGCCATAGGACCTCCGCCGAAGGTCCCAGTGGCTGAGTTCGCACGCGTCCCCCACATTCATTGCGGCACGCACCTCGCACGTTTCGTGGCCCCATAGGAGTCCTGCCGAAGGTCCAAATGGTTGATTTCGCATGCGTCCCCCACATTCATTTCGGCACGCCTCTCACACGTTTCGCGCCCCCCTAGGAGCCCCGCGCCGAAGGCCCCAGTGGCCCGTCCCTCTCTGGCTCCTTCTCCCCGTTCCCTCCTTCCCCGCCGTTCCTCCCCTTCCCTTTTTGTTGCTCGAATGGCCCTTAGCTGCGCATCAGCCGCTGGCAGCCCAATGGGAGACGAGTGGGACTTTGGGCCAGAAGAGCTCGGGCCCGTCGTCTCGCTGAAACATTCAGTCGAGAGCGGGGCCATCACCAGCGCTCAGCGAGGGATCGTGAGGAGAGAAACGCATTGTCGAGTTGCTGTGCGGGATAGGCAGCGTGGGGGCGGGCGCCAGATATTCATCACAGGCAGGTCCAGCAAGATACATGATGCCCACGCGCTGACCCTAGACTTCATTGCCGCTAACGGCGCCGAGGGTGGCAGGCGCAACGCTCAGGACCAAGAGTTCCATCGCCGTCAAGAACGGGCAGTGGCTGATGCTATCGGGAGGTCCCAGGAAGCCCAGCTGAGGCCGATGCGCGACTCGCGGCTGCACGATTGCGGTTTCTGGTACGACCAGGCGTTAACCATTATGTGGCCGCGTCCGTTCAACGAGCTCCCGAACTTCATGTACGTCAACGGTGGAGGACGCTGTTTTTTCAGTTTCTCCCAGGGAGGTGTGGGAGTGGAGCGAGGGGGGAGAATGGCTGGATGGTTTGACGGGGTCAGGGGCGAGACGATTGGCGGGGGCGATCGGCCCCCCCCCCCCCTCCTCCTCCCCCTCCTCATCCCCTCCTCCTCCTCCTCCTCCTCCTCCCTCCTCTTCCTCCTCCTCCTCCTCCTCCTCCCCCCTTCACCCCCCTCCTCCTCCCCCTCACCCTCCTCCTCCTCCTCCTCCTCCTCGCCCTCGTTGCCCTCCTCATCCTCCTTGTCCCCATGGGTACCCCCATCCCTCCCCCCTTCCATCCCCCTTGTCTGCCCTCTCCTTCACCCTTCCCTTTCCGTGTATTCCGCTTCTCCTCCTCCACCCCCCCCCCCCCGCCTCCTCGCACCTCGCCCGCCCCCTTCCCCCGCCGCCCCCCGTCTCTGCGTCTTCCTCCTTCTTCGCCCTGCGCTGCATTTTCCTGCGCGCCAAATCTCCGCGCTCTCAGCGCTGCCCGTGCGCGTTCGTGGAGACAACACCGTGCTGGGCCACGTGCACATGCGCGATGACAGCCTCGAGGCAGCCGCGATGGGGGCGGGCAGTAGAGGAGTGGCGATGAGGACAGGGGGGTGGTCCGGCCGCCCCCCCCCCCCCCCCCCTCGCCCACATCCTCAGCACCCCCCCCCCCACCCATCGTTTTCCTCCTTGTCCCGCTCCTCGTCCTCCTCCTCATCCTCCTCCTCTTCGTTATCGTCGCCCCCCTCCTCGTCGCCCCCGCCCTTCTCCTCCGCCGCCCACGCCCGCCCCTCTGGCGCGCAGCCCCCCCACCACCCCCGAAAAAAAAAAAAAAAAAAGAAAAAAAAAAAAAAAAAAAAAAAAAAAAAAAAAAAAAAAAAAAAAAAAAAAAAAAAAAAAAAAAAAAAAAAAAAAAAAAAAAACGCCGCCCCCAGTTCGAACCAGCTGGGCTCGCTGATTTTCTACGCGCGCGCGGACATCACGCATCGGAGGCCCCGTCGCCCCGCCAGCTTGATCAGTTGGGCAGAGGTGCAGTGAGCGGCTTGAATAAGGAACACTTGCTTTCAAAAAGGGCTCGGTCGTTCCTTAGGCTTGCATGCGTTTTTTTTTTACAGTTCCTCATGCGTTATTTGTTATGTATCGCTCCTCCTGCGTTCTTCCTTGGGACAAGAAAAGGCGCTTCGTCCCTTATGTATCGTTCCTTAGGTCAGGCCGATGACTGTAGTTTGGCCTCGTCCTGCCACCTCCTCACCGCCCCTCGGTCCCCGACCGCCGATTTTTCGATTCCTCGATCCTCAACCCTCCATTCCTCGACCCTCGACCCTCTATTTTTCGATGCTCTATTCCTCGAGTCCTCGATCATCGATTCCTCGACTCCTCGGCCCTTGAGCCTCGATTCCTTGATGTGTCATTCTTTCCCTCCCCCACGCCCCCCCCCCCCCCCCTCCCCCCCCATCCCCGCTCTTTCTCTCCCAGCCCCTCAACATCCTCAACACCCCCCTCCTCCTCAGCGCCCCCCATCCACGGCGCCCTCCACATCCTCAACGCCCCCCTCAAAATCCTCACCATTCCCCTCCTCCTCGACATCCGCCTCGACATCCTCAGCGTTCCCACGCACACACACACACGCGCGCGCACACGCGCGCGCACACGCGCACACACACACGGCCACACACGCACATCCTCAATCCCCACTCCGTCTTAGCAGCTGTGCAATTGCCATTTTTGCTCACGTTAGCCTGTTGCGCAATCGGAGGCCTCGCCCCACAGCATTGCCCGCGATCGCGCGCGGCTAGCCATGTCCCTCGCGCCTGCGGCTAGCGAGGAGCAGGCCGCCGCTGTTGTAGAGAGCGCCGCCCCGCGCACGTACCTTTGCGGCAGCTGCAACCTGACTTTCAAGGCCAGGGGCGAAGTCACTTGCTGCCAGAAGGACTGGGACGGCACCGAGAAGCAATTCGTATGCAAGGGGTGCAACTCGGTGAAGACGCGGCTGTTCAAGCTGAAGAAGATGCAGCCAGCTGCGTTCGACGGGTGGAGCGACGTCAGCGCAGAGAATCGGCATAGCTTCATGCAAGAAGCAAAATCGTTGTACGGATCTGACTTGGTGAAGAAGGTCACCCAGTCCCTCACGATGTCGAAGACGCAGACGGTCTCAAACGAGTTCAAGGAGACGGGTGGGTTGCTGCCGAAGTCCGAGGCGGCGGAGCTTCCTCGCTTCAAGAACGATCCGATTGCGTGGGCTAACTTGCTCGCCAACGCAGAGAAGCTGGTCTGCCCCATTACCAAAATAGAGCGCATATACGTGCCCAACTACGAGAAGACCTCCACCATGAAGGACGTGGAGGAGCGGTCGAAGAAGCGGGATATCGAGGCTGAGGAGTGCACCAAGGTCGCCAAGGCCAAAGCCAAGCTCAAGGCGGAGAAGGTGATCACCAAGAAAAGTACACTCACGAAAGCGCTGGCCAAGAAACTCGACAACGCGCTACACTACTCCGAGGCCGCCTGCTTTGACATGCAGGCGTTTCTGCTCACCGCGTCGTCCCCAGAGGCCGCTGCCTTCGCGACGCCAGCGATCGTCGCGTCTGGCAAGCAGGCCTGCGAGGATGCGGAGGCGCTGCGCAAGCAGCTCGACGCCACAGCCAATGGGGAGACCGTCGACAAGGATGAGGTGATCCACGGCATTCAGACACTTCAGGATGGCGTCGAGAAGATGATCGACATCCGCACGAAGATCGAAGGTCAGTGTTCTTCTTCCTGCTCTTCCTCCACCACGTTCTGCTCCTCCTCCTCCTCTTCCTCTTCCTCCTCCTCCCCCCCCTCCTCCTCCCCCTCCTCCTCCTCCTCCCCTTCCTCCTCCTCCCCCTCCTCCTCCTCCTCCTCCTCCTCATCCTCCTCCTATACTTTCTCTTCCTGCCCCTCCTCCTCCTCCTGGTACTCCTCCCAACCGCCTTTCCCCCTCCCCCCCCCCCTCCTCCGAGGTTGCCTGGAGTTCATGCCCGAGCCCGCTGTGGAGGAGACGGTGCCCGAGACCGTTGAGGGGGGGCCAGCCAGCAGGTTGTTTTTCTTTGCCCTGCCCCCTTTATTCTGCTGTTACTAATGGCTGTTGCTGATGCCGCTGCTGCCGATGCCCCTCCTTCTCCTCGTCACCCTCCTCTCTCTCCTCCTCAAACTTCTCTGCCTTGTGATCCCTCTCCTCCTCCTCCTCCTCCTCCTCCTCCTCCTCCTCCGCCCCCTTTATATTCCTCCTCCTCCTCCTCCTCCTTTTCCTCCTCCTCCTCCTCCTCCTCCACCTCGCCTCATTTTTCTCCTGATGCACAGGGGCCGGCGACGGCGTGGTGACCCCGCAGGGCACGAAGCGCGAGCGTTCTCCAGGTGTCAGCTCGACTGAGGCGGCCGACGACGAGGACGCCCAGCGCCTCGCTGAGCCGACCCCCGTGCCCAAGAGCGGCGCCCTAATGAAGAGGCCAGCCGCTGCTGCAAAGGGCCGTGCCCGTGGCAGCGCCTCCTGAGAGTAGATAGGTTTCATATATATAGTGGTTTCTTTCAAGGGCGTAAGAAACGCCCCTACCCTGGTTTACGAAGCGCTGTGCGCTGAACCTCCTGTGGGCTGACAGGATGCATCCTGCGCATCGCGCGTGTCGAGCGACGTTCTGGTGGCTCTTTCTGGTAACCTGCGCATCAGCCAGCCGTGGGCATGTCGACGAATTTTGAGTCCGCGCGGCCAAGGTGCGCGCGGCAGCGCTGGCGCGCCTTTGTCATTCCTTTCTGTCACGCCCTGCGTGTCGCAGGGTTGGGTGTCGTTTTCTTCTTGCCGTTATCGCCATATCAGTTCCTGATCGATTTGTCGTCGTTCTAGCTGCCGACGCGCGCCAGCGCGCGCAGTGCAGCCAGCGAGAAAAAGGAGGAGGAGGAGGAGGCGGATATTTAGAACGAGCTAGGGATGAAGTTGTGTGGGATGGGAGGGGAATGGGGCGCAGAGTGGAAGGGCGAGCGACGTTGTCCATCGTCGTCAGCAGTGAAAACAGCACGCAAGCTTCCGCCGCCTACTCGAAAGCCAGCCTGCCCGCCAGCAGCAATCGTCAGCATAATGGGTGCAACCACCTGTAACGAGAGCGGCGTCGCCAGCATTTGCCACTTCAGATGTGTGGCGAAAATTGCAGGCGCACCACCCCTTCGGCTTTGTCCAATGAAACTCCCCCCCCCCGTCGCTTCGAGGAGGCGTAATTATGTTCGCTTCTTCTGCTTCAGATTGTCGTTGCTTTCTGACGCGTTGACGCTTCGCGTATCCCGCCATCGCACGCAGACAGGGGGGCCCGGGGAGGCGCCGAGAAGGATAGGGTCAATCAACGCGTTTGCGAGGCGGACGGGCCATCAATGGCGAACTTCTGGCCCGCGGGGATTTCTTGGGGGCCTTGCGGGGCCATGTTGTAGCGTTCTCTAGGCTCTTATGGGGGCGGGCCCTTTGAGACCCACTTGCGGCCGTCCTGGGGCCCCTCGGCGGTCGCTGGGGCCCTCTTAGGGCCATCTTGGATGACGTCGACCGAAGAAGAGGGTGGTTCTAATCTGGGCCGCTCCGTCGGCACCCGAATCGCCGTCTCTCGAGGCTCTATCGGGTCGCCTTTGGGTCGTGATCGATGGTCATTGGTGTCGCCAGTGGAGTTTCATGGGCCATGGTCGCGGGATTTTGGGCGATAGTGGCACCAGCCCGGGACCCCCGGACCCCGTAGGAAGCGAACGTGGGAAACGGGCGCGCACAATTGCACCGCTTGAAGCGTTTGGAACACATTTGTCACGAGTGCCCTTGATGGGGCCCGCGGCCGTTCGGGGCCACACTGAAACCATTGCGCGGTTTGTTGGAAGCGTGGTGGAGGCCGTGTTGAGTCATATTGGTGTGCATTGTTTCCAACTGGAGATTATGTTGGGAAGCGTGGGGCCCTCTTGTAAGCATGTTGGGCCACAATGGCCGCTCTACCCCCTTGTGCCCCTCCCCGCCCTCCAGACGGTAGGTGAAGCGGCCCTGGAAGGGCAGCCTTTTCCAGGGCTTGGGAGAAACAGGGCCAGAGGAGATAACTCTGTCAACCTCTACGCCCAGAGGGCTGACGGGATGTGCAGTTCATTTCAAGTTGTGTTGCCATTCCTTATCCACCATTTTGCAGGCATGGGTCCATGTGTTTTGTCATTCCTCTAGCCGTACTGGATCAGGGCAGGGCTGCGCTCGACGGCTAAGGGCCGCCTGAGGCGGCCACTGCCCAGCCAGCTTGCCCCCGGAATGCCGCCCAAGGGCAGCAAGAGGGTCTTTTCAACGAAGCAGTGCGAGACAAAGAAAGCCAAGTTGGCCCTCGAATGGGAGGCAATGAAAACAGCCGAAAAGGAAAATGAGCACACGAGGGAGATTTCATGGGTCATGACACAGATGCTTGCCGACCGGGAGAACGTGGAGGTCGCGAGGATGGCGATCCAGGGGAGGTACAACCGCCTTAACGCCAAGGACAAGCCTGTCCAGGAACCACAGTGGTACCCTAAAGCTTACGTATGCCTCCTCAAAGTTCCTCGGGACCGGTGTCTCGCGAAAACAATCCCACTCATGAGTGACCGCATGACTGAGTCCGCAGTGACCCTCTTGAAAAAAGCAGATAAGCGCATTGATCAGAAGCTGCTCTACTTTGCAACAGGGACGTCAAGGCAACAGAAAATCTGGCACCACAAGAAGTCTGAGCTCGACAATTCGTTCGAGAAGCGCCACGATTTGTGCCAGAAGCCCCTGGCGCACCTCGCGTGGGACGCGACTGGCAAAATCGACTGGCCGAGGGACGGTCTGTTCAGGTTACTACCCCGCATGCCCGCGGAGCACGCCAATCCGAAAACCTGGATCTACAAGGAAATTGCCTGCATCTACTTCCCAGAGAAGGTGCAGAAGGCATTTCACGGATGGTCCAAAAATTACCAGGCCCATCGGCTTGTTCATACGATGTGTTTTTGTTGCATTGAATTACAGCTTGCACGCATTTGCGTTGCATCGTAGCTGTCCGCCACCCCGCTCGCTAATGCGAGCGATTCGTTTATTTGCCCAGCAGTTTTGCGAGTTTGTCGGTCGTTGTCCGCCCGAGGTTGCCATCCCGACTGCTTTTACCGTTACTGGCGAGTGGACCCTCGTTGACAACTACCATTTTTTGGCCACCCTCACGAGCCCCAGCAACGTGAAACCCAAGAGCACCATCGAGTGCAGCGACTTTTTCGGCGACGTGCAGGCCTACGCCGACATCGTCGCGCCCATTCCCGTTGTAAGCGACCAGGGCCGCCCTTCGGATGAGGATGAGGACGACGAGGGCGAGGCCGAAGTGGGGCCCGACGACTCGGCCTCGCAGGTGGGCTCTCCCTCGGCTTTGGCATCACCGTCGAAGCTAGCGCTCTCGAGCAAGGACTTGAGTGCTGCCATCGCGAAACTGCGCCACAAGGCCTGCGCGTGAACCGCAGTGGACGAACTGTTCGGTTGATCGATGGGCATGCGCCGCTCTGCCTGTGCCGTTTTCTATATTTGTTTTTTTCCAATGGGCCCTTGTAGAGACAAGGGACAGCCAGCGCCCTTTGTGTAATGAGCTCGGGTGTGCATTACTCGGGCGCTGCAGCAGCGTTCTCTGGAGGACATGTTCGATCGCCTGTGCAATGTGTGCTGGCCACGGGGCGGGCCACGCGCACCCCTTCGGAGGCGCGCCAGAAACGCAGCCATGCATGTATGCCGGAATTAACGCACGGCACGGCGGGCGAGGATCCGCCGGGAGAAGGCCCTGACACGAAGAACGCTCTTGTGCCGAGAGAGCCATAATATGGAAACGCGGCGTCCGCATCGGCGCCCTCATGGTTGGCAGCGAGTTCGTTCCCAAAATTACCCCGCCCCTTCCGTGAACAGCGCGTTCGGGGGACATGGGCGCGCGGGGCTCCTAAGCCCCTGCTTTGCTGTCAGGTCTTGGGGGGGCTTCGAGTTGTGAGAACCCTGCGCCCATGCGTCCAACGTCCTATTCGTTCTTCTCACCCCTCTCATATATATCCTCGCTCGTTTTTGTTTTGCCCCTCCCTACCCCATCACCCTACCTCGTGCGACCTCCTCCGTATGTTCCTCCGTTCTCCCGGCGGTCGCAGTTGAGGTCGCGGTTGATAACAGCGGGCCCCATCCCCATCATGCCTTCCGGCATCGTTCCCCCTCTCGTGCCGCTGCTGCTCCTCGTCCCCCTCGGCGCGCGTGCTGCGAGCCCATTTCTGCGACTAGGCTGCGCTGCTCAGAGCCGCCCCAGAGCCGCCTCCGGGCGACTTGGAGGCGGTCCAGAGCTGCCTCCGGGTGACCCGGAGGCGCCCCCGAGCCGCCTCCGAGTGACCCGGAGACGGTCCAGAGCCGCCTCCAGGTGACCCGGAGGCGTCCCGGGCTCCCCGTCAGGCCCGCCGCCGAGGCCCGGGGGCGCCCCAGAGCCGCCTCCGGGCGACTTGGAGGCGGTCCAGAGCTGCCTCCGGGTGACCCGGAGGCGCCCCCGAGCCGCCTCCGAGTGACCCGGAGGCGGTCCAGAGCTGCCTCCGGGTGACCCGGAGGCGCCCCCGAGCCGCCTCCGAGTGACCCGGAGACGGTCCAGAGCCGCCTCCAGGTGACCCGGAGGCGCCCCGGGCTCCCCGTCGGGCCCGCCGCCGAGGCCCGGGTGCGCCGCCGCGGGCAGAAAAAAAGGTATGAATATATTATCATGTTTTTTTTTTCTTTTTTTCTTTTTGTTTTTTGTTTTTGTTTTTTTTTGTTGCCGCCGCGTCGCGTCATCCTTCGCCCCTCCTCTTCGCAATCGTTCGCGCCCTCCCCCTCCTCTCTTTCACCATCCTGCTCTGGCGCGAGCCCGTGGGGTGCGATAGCGCTGAGGCCGCGGATCCAACTGTCCCCCTTGAGGGCCGAAGCCCGCAGCAGAACCCTCGGGCGTAGGCGGGGACATGGCTGCGGCCCCCGCTCCTCGAGGGTATTGAAGATAATCGCGTTCCACCTTCGAAGTCGTGCCTCTCTTCCACCACCTCGTCCTCGTTATCCTCGCCCTGTCGGTCGCTAAGAGAAAATGAATGCACGCAACCCCTTCCCCGAACCGCCGCGCTTGCATTCGAGGACATTTGGGGCCATCGAAGGGGCCATCGCGCAGAGTGATTGTTGCGACGACTGGCTGTTCCGCACACATCAAAACGAGAACCCAACAGGGGTAATGCGACCGCGCTTCGGATTTTGCATTGGGTGATGAGGGGGTTCGCGCGGGGTCGGAACTGCGCACCTTGCAGTGAGGGCGATCGCGTCGACGACGGCGACGGGCATCCGATGCAGCGCCGCAGGCACTCTGACAGGCGTCCTGATTTGAATGGGGGTCTTCGCATGGGGCCCAAGATGGGTCTGGAGCGCCCAGTGGGCTCGCAAAGAGCTCCGGGGGAGTTTAAGAGGGGTCGGCCATGAACATCAACAATACATCAACAACAAAAACACTGTTTCGTCACACTCGCTGTCTGCTTGAGTTCTTGTCGAGGTTGGGGCTGTCTTGGTCGGTTTGAGGGCTTTGATTGGGAGGCCGACGGGCTCGATTGGGCTAACGATTTGGGCTCATAATTCTTGGGAGGCTGGTTTCGTTTGATTGCATTTGCTGCCCCACGGGGTGGCGGAGTGGGTGTCATCTATCAGCTGTGGTCTCTCGTTTGAGTGCCAGTACGTGCTCGCTCCCTGGCGCAAGGGCCCAGGAAAATGGAGACCCCCAGAGGGGGGGGGGACGCTTTGTTAACCTTTCTGTCCCCGCCGCGTGGCCCATGCCACCAGCCCCGCAAAAGGGGGGCTACATTTTGTTAACCTCTCTGTCCCGTCGTTGCACCACCGAGCGACACACCGCGCACCGAATAGAAACAACAATGTGCAACTGCAATTTTCAGCGCTTCACCCCAAACCCCTTCATCTGCCAACAGCGGAAACATTGCCTGGACACGACCGGTGTCCAAACCGTTACGCTCTAGTTTCAGACAGAGTGAGTGCCCGGACACGAACAGCGTCCAAGACGTTACGCTCTCAATTGCTGAAGAAGTGCGCGCGGCATTACAGCGAGACCCCATTTTGACAACCAGCCCCAATCAGTATTCGCAGCTATCGCCAGCGTCTAAGACGAATGGGCGCAGCACTGGAGCTTGAACCGGTGTGACCGACCAAACCGTATGTCCCGGGGACGCCAGAAATTCGCCCAGTGCTTCTGAGCGCCGGAATCCAAAATGTGTACAGTACTCGCTGCGTTGAAAAAATAACACCTTGAAAACACCCCTCCATATTTGTAGTTGCTGCAAACGTCGAGTGTCCTGAGAGGCCACGCAGTCACATGCTCCAAACCGTCTCTCATATACATATATATATATATATATATAATTTTGACTGCTTGGGCGCAAGTATTCGTCTACTTCGGTTCGAATATATTCCCCCGAGACTGCATCTTTGCATCCGTGGTTTCTGTCATTGCGTGGTCTGCAACACATGCGCGCGCGCTCTGCGCTGTGCCCTTCAGCCAGCATGCTTTTGGCCGCTGTGCGAGCGCGTGCGCCCGCAAGCTGTGTCAGGCCCAGCCGCTATTTGCATTCGAGAATGCCTGAACCCCACGTGGGCCATGTGGTCTTGTACCCGGACCCCAGCATCGACCGATGCATCCTCGAGCACAGACGGACTGGCGAAATCCAGGTCTTGCCCGAAGGTCCGTGGCAGATCGGTTTCGATGAGGACGGCGTGGGGTTGGTGGTCAACGGGGCGGGAGAGCCCCATTGGGTCGATGACATATTCCATGTGCATTTGTCGAGATCTCTTGGGGGGACCTTGATGGCATCAGATGCGGGGGGCAAGCTCACGCCATTCTTCGACAGAGCAGGGAAGCGATCCATGAAGCATATCTTCCTGAAGCCAGTCAGCTCTCCTGGGTTCCTGGTGGAGGCAGCCGTTTTCCAGCATAGGGCCCATGGTGCCCGAGTTTGGTTTGATTTTTCCGCCCTGTATCGGGGCCTTGGCTTAAACGGCAGCCCGGCAGAGTATTACAACAAGTGCTTTGGAAAGTGGGCTGCTTGGTTCGATGCGCATGGTTTGGCTGTGCCCCATGTCCGGCGGGCGACTAAGACTGGCCACGATCACGGCAAGCTGAAGGTGGACGACTCCGAATGGAGGTGTTTGCCATTTTTCAGCCTGAGCACACATGCGTTGGTCGCATTGCTGTCCCGAGTAAGTTCTACAAAGTGGGAGCGTACGAGAGAGGACCGCCGAGTTTCATTTCGCGCACTCTTGGACGCTTTGGTCCGCAGGGGCAATCTGGGGGATCGGGTTTTCAAGCTGTTCCTGCCCAGCTCTGTTTGCTTGCCTGGGATCCCATGTGGTGGAGATCGCGCAGTCGATTTGCAGGTGAGCGGCTGTGCTGTCAATATTTCTCGATTGAAGGCCAGCAGGGCCAAGCAAGCGAAACAATTATGCTGGCACCTTGGGTTGGGCGATCTCGACGACCACGTGGACATCCCGAGTCTTTTGATACGGGCTTATGAGGGCGGAGTTGGCTCCAAGGGTCTATTTCAGCAAATCGTCGTTTGGCTTGGCAACATCCTCGACGACATGTTCGCCAACAGCCCCAGCGACTCCACCGGCGGTGCATCGACAGCCGGCTACGCCGAACTCGCCGCCATCGTCGGATCCAGCGCCAAGGCCGTTAAAGACAACATCCAGAATACCGTGGACATCCGAGCAGCTTTCGGCCAGGCTTTCAGGCGGATGCAGTACTTCATGGCTTGTCGGAATTGTTTTGCTGGCACCAGGAACTTGTCCATTGCCGTCGACAGCACCAGAATGGGCAAAAAAAACGTATGCGCAGGCGTGGCGACTTCCTCAGCTGGGTTGTGCGCAGTTTGCCCGCCACAGGTCCGACTTCAGTATGAAAAGCGGCGGCCGCCGACAGCGGCTGCGTCGCGACGCCAGCACGAATGTCGTCTAAACCCGAGTGATGGTTTCACCGACTTGGGCGCTCGGTTTGTCAACCGAGCTCCCTAGAAATTTCTTTTTCAGGTTAGTAATTTTATTTCCGTTTTACTAATTTCATTTTGCCCCACGGTTTGCACAGTGCATCGCAAAAGTGTCCCTTGGGTACGTTTACTAATCCGCTTTCCGGTTTACTAATTTATTTTCGGGTTTACCAATTTCGGGTGGCCGTTTTCAAAAACGCCGCCACGCGTTACAAATCCCCTTTTCGAGAGAAAGTTGTGCGCGTGTTGTTGGCGCAGTCGGGCACTCTAGTCGTTTGGCGTCCCGTCATTTGGGCGTTCGTTTGGTTCCCCGGGCCCACTGCAGGTCGCCAAAGATTTTGTCAACCAGGCGAGGGTGGCCTTGGACATGGGCACCCGCGAAGAGGTCGAGAATGAGGCCGAATTTTGGAGGATCACTGCGACAAATTATTGGGTGACACAC